CATCAAATTGATGAACAAATATAAGACGGCTCTGATATACCTACGTACAGCGGATTTTTCATCAAAATTTACTAGGTATCATGATTATAACCATCTTTGGTAGATTGTTCGATCCGGAATGGGAAAGATCTCCTATTTATGAAAATATTTTTGGTATCATCTAACCGTTGCAATCAGTGCACTAAAACTCTGACATATGATTTATAGCATAATCCGTTGCGCTATAAACACAAATTTAACATACAGGTCGCCTAGCAGTGGGGATGCAGTGGTTGGGATGGATATCACAGCAGCAACTGATGATTTGGGCATGTCTGGTAACAACGTATGAAGTAGGAACTCGCTAACTTCATAAATTTGAAGATTTTGTACAATTTCTTTGAAAATGATGAAAGATATGTCTGATTTGGCAAGGTAATCTCGCAGCCAAATGGCAGTCGGTCTTTCTGGACGCTGGCCAAGCAGATTGAAAAGAACTTCTCACACAGTAGCTTTCCACCACTTACAGTGTCAGGATGGAACGCTTGTAACTGACTCGAAGGCCAAGGCTGAAGTGCTTGCCAAGATCTTTGCTGCCAACTCCACCATGGACACCCCCCAACAAAGCTTCTGGTCCGGACTTGATTGTACTGAAGAGGTGTGCAGCGGAGCTTTCTTCAATTCTTTCGCGTCTCTTCCAGATATCTTATGAATCCAGAAAACTGTATATTTGATCATGTCCAAACCGTCCCAAAAAGGATCTAAAACCGAACTTTACAACTACAGGCCTATAGCTCTGCTTTCTCTTAGGTAAGGTGATGAGAGGTGCAAAAATTGCGAGCTTCTGGAATACCTCGAACGTCTCGGCTTGATTAGCGACAGGCAGTATGGTTTCCGACACCAGCGACCCACGGGGGACCTCCTAGCTTACGTCACGCAATTGTGGAGTAACCTAATCCAGTATTACGGTGAGGCTTATGTCGTTGGTCTTAATATCACGAAAGCATTCAATCAGCTGTGGCACGCTGCCCTCTTATGCAAACTTCCATTCCATGACCTCCCAGAAAAGCTTTGCAGGTGTGTGGCTGACTTTCTCTCTGGCCGCGAGGTATCCGCCGTAATTGACGGGATCTCCTCTTCATCCTCCTCTTCAACGCGGGTATTCCCAAGGGATTGGCCTTGGGTCCGACACGGTTCTTCTTGCCCTATCCACAGCGAAGGCTGATGACAGCACTCTACAAGTAGGAATTCAGAGTGACAAGTCGATCTCTGCAGTTGAGCTGGAAAAAAGAAGATTAGCGACGACTTCCTCTCTGACGAGGGACCTGGAGATTTTCAGTGCTGTACCGTGACGAACAAAAGGCGACCTAGCGCTCACACGTTTGGGGTGCCGCCGCCCCGACAATATTATCTATGCTCGATGTTGTCCAGAGAAGGGCTGTCCAACTGATCGATGACTCTTCTCTAACAAACAGTCTCAGGACTCTTTCACACCGGCAGCCGTCGGCGATCAAGTTCTCTTCTACTGCTACACCAACGGGCTTTGCTCCTCAGAGTTCTCTTCCATGATGCCGCCGCGCGATGTGCCTGCCATACAGACCCGACTGCTTCGGTACAAAAAAAATGACTACACTAAAAGCTTCCTACTTCCATTGTATCTTGACTGGGGAGATAGCGCAGCACAATCCCTAAATGCGTTTGGCACTTGAAAAGACTTTAAGTGTAAAAAAGGCGAATTTTAATGGAATTACCAATGTAGCCAAAAATGTTGCTGGAAATCGACAGCGAACAAGTGGAGAAAAAAAGTCGCTAAGGTATACAAAAATCGCTAAGACTGGCAACAGTGTGGTTTGGTCCAGATGACACATCACTTAGTCGCGACTAGGGTAGTAATGGGAGTTTTTATTTATACTGATCGGTGCACTAAAAAATGATTCAGCACACTGCAAGTGGGGAAAGTGATTTTTCTCAGGTACCAAAAGGAACTAAGGAACAGTCAAAAAAGAATTCCATGCGACACGCATGAAACATGTGTCGAAATCAGGTTTAAGTGTTGTATGAAAATGTTTTATTGATATCAAATAATTTCTAGGACATCCAAAAAAAAAATCTTGAAAGATTTGAAATCTCCAGAAAATATATAAACATAGCCAACAGTCAAGCGAGTCGAAAATCTTTCGGAAGCAAGTATCGAGAACCACAGGCTGCAGGGCACGGGCAAAGTGGAAAATCCCTGACATGGGAAACAACTTGAAGTGAGATGAGATTATAACTGAGGAAGTGGCCAAAATGAAGCTACTGAAATCGGCTTTGTGTTTAAACTGTTAAATACTGCCAAGGTATTCAATCGCGTTTTATTTCAGTGAAGCTAGTGTTGGACTGGTGCATATTACAAATTCTTATAACAGAACCAATTTACATATTCATGTTTTTCTGGTGCGCATTTTTACTACTAGTTTTTCACTCATTGTAGAAACATACAGAACTTGAAGAAACTCGGGCTGGTGTTGTCTACTGTCTTCTGCTTCGATTTCCATCCACCATGCAGCCGTGATGTTTGCTCGTGGTTTACTGTTATTTTTTTTTCGATGATTCATCATAGTAACACGGAAAAGGTCAAAGAAAATATGCTTCATTGACAAATTACTGCACGCGACATGACATGAGAGTTGTTTAGTGTTGTTTTGGGGGTAAATTTAGGATCAAAGGTATTAACTAAGATAGAGTATTTCGAACACAAAAACTGCGCCAGTTTTGTCAGAAGAAAACACTATATCTCTGAGCCACAGAAGTAAAGCAAATCTCAGGCTTTCCATTCTCCCATCACTAGTGTGATGAAATGACAATTTGTCCCTTCTTGGATTACTTGAAATAGTGATGTGCTTTCTAGTTCGTTTCACTAAGTTGCGTTCAGTTCTAGGAACTAGTTCGTGAACAAACTACTTTATGCAACGATACCACAAAAAATATAAATACAGAAACGAAGCAGATATTCTAGTCTTTCAGTCGAGATAACGTAAAAACGATTCAATTCATATTTTTTAACCGTTCCAATACATTACACTGATCGCAAATGTATTATCCCATCACTAACATTATGAGACACTAATTTCAAATGTCTATTCCGATCTTCTTTGGTCTATTCTCCTTCTCCAACGTTACTGGATTCTATGTTTTGTGGTCACTTGTTTTGTTATTTGTGAAAAATGGAATTCTTAAACAACAAATTTCCGTATAAAAAGTGCTCCCTCCAAGATTTTTTTTGTGCAAAACCTATTACACTATCGTGTACACGTTAAATCTGAACTAACCCCCAAATACGTGGTTATGTTGAGTGTACCATGTACCATCATCGATGGTGCGACTAATTGTACACTGAAATCAAAACAAAAAACTGCAACTGCAATTGTATGTATGAATGTTGAAAATGTTGAACAGTTTTGGACCAGTGGTGTTGAAATATCTTTGAGGAACTGGAAAGAAGTGTGTTAATGTGTTGAAATGCAACACCTAACAAAAATTTGAGTGAAAGTGCAACTTTGTAAATATAGGATAAACTATAAACACACAGTAGGTGATATAACCACATCTGGATTACAAAAGTTGCAATAAACATGGAGAAACTATCAGCTAAACTGAAAAAATGGATTTTACTTAGATATCAAGCATTTTTTAAAAATGTTGGCTCAGTTTTACATAATTTCATAATATTTAATAGACTGAAAACATTTCCATGGCAAGCCGTCACTTCATATTTTACAGTGTTTTGTTTTTTGAATACTTTGATGCTATTTGCTGCCAAAAATTTGATAGAGAGATCTTGAGGCTGATTGGGTATATTTAACGGACTGTTTGGTACTCGTACCCTATTGGTGCAGAATAATGGTTTGTTAAATTGTGAAATCCACTCTTTTAGCTAACCTTAATAGGAGTATCCTTTAAATTGACAGCAGAAAATACGGCGTATTGTATCATTTTGCAACCTCAATAAATTAGGCAAATTATTCACTTCATGTTTTACTAGGTTATCGCAATATTATTGACACCACACGTAGTCAAACTAAGTAAATCACTTTAGTTCGAGTTTTATTGGTGTTTTAAAAAAGCAAGTAAACCTGTAGAAAGAAAATGGCAATTTATATTTTATGACACATGTATCCAAGAATACTATGCTGAGAAAGGAATGATAATAAACCTTTTATGTGTTATCTCAAGACTTAAAGCAGTGAGTGAACGTGCCCATTTTCTCCAAATTACTTTTACTAGACACAATTTAAATTTTTTGAATTCTTATGATGTCCTCTAACTGCAGGTTGAAGGTTATCCACCCTTTACGTCACACCCTGTATATACAATAAACGAGCCTTTTATGTTATTTTTGTATTATAAGCAGATATTTTGATCACAACGTTAGTTTTATGTTATGATTGCATGGGCATTGTTGTTTGCAAGGCCGGTTGTATGAGTTGAATGAAACTTGAATTAAAAAAATAATAAATAATTCTGCAATAAAAAAATATCTTACAGTTACATAATAGATCAGAGTGTTCTTAGTAACTTATGTCAGTTATCCAGTAAATAAAAACATAATAGCTGTTTATTTGTGAGCGGCATCTCCTACGGCCAATCCACCTTTGTGGGACGGGAAATAGAAATCTGAATTCTTGTTGAAGTTGCAAAGTAGTAGTAACTAGTAGTAATTGTGAGGAGATGAAGCCTGGCATCATCTTTGACCATTTTTTTCGACTCCATTTTACCAGCACTGCACTGCTTATCTACTGGTAACTGATTATTGAATAAACCAGCTCCAGCACAACATCAATGGTTCTAAATGGAACTCCAGGCCGGGATTCAATCAGCTCGACGTAGTAACACAACTTGCCTCTTTTCCAAAAACTGACGTCTCCATAAAATATATATTTTTCAATTGGTAATATTGCACACAAATTTAGTCATCACACAGACGCTATTTTTCTGTTAGAACGCCTTCTACAAACTACGTCATCGCCGATATCACCCCATTAGTGTTTGCTGGCCCATAATTCATCCTCCGATGCCAACTCCACAACGCACACATTCTCAGATATCAAGTCAGAGAAGCTTGATGTCGTTCTGCCTCCTCCATTGTTTTCTCCTTCTTCGGTAGCTCGCCGCACAACCCTCTTTGATACATATTTATGAAGCAAGCTCAGCGGCGGGTAGTGTTTACATGGATCCTCTTTACTATTCACAAGCGACGTGGTGAATAAGTGCACGTGTAGACCCATACGTAGTAGTATCTTGAAACATAATTTGTATTAAGGAAGATCCTAAAATACTTTTATGAGTTATGAGGGTACGCTCAAAAATGCCCGGATTAGGACCCACCTTCATTATTCACTCAAGTTACTTCTATACAATTTGGGGTCATTTTTGAACGAGGAGAATGCTGGGGTTGTTTGAGGTCGAGTTTCTGAACCGAAGATGATTGAAGGTACAACTGCCAGAAGTAGACATTAGACATTAGATTTATTGACCACTCCAACTAGCAAATATATTTTATAATTTTCGACTTTTCGCGCTATTTTACCTTATAATTGCTTTACTACTGCTCTTAGAACGTAATTTTGTTTCAATATAATTGCCAGTAACGGCCGTATCGTCAGTCGTTCCTGCAATTGTATGAAGCTTTTATGGCTTCCTTGATTGTCACAGTTTTCTACTTTTCCATGTCAGCGCTCTGTTTTGAGGTTATGCCACAAATATCTATTTACATCAAATTGCTCATGCGTTTGATTTATATCATCTGTTCTATCAGCCTGAAATTTCCTACGATTCCAAAAGAAAACATAACTTCACAATAGGAGAGCGCTGACGCTCACAGGGAACAGGTGAAATCTAAAAATTTCCGAAGGAGAGAAAATACTATGACAATCAAGGAGGCCTGAACAACATGAACATGTTTATTTAATCTTCAGTGATTTTTCTGTTCTGGTTCCATTTGTTTCATTGTTATTTCATTGCACTATCATGCCTAGAGTACGCAGACGCGCTAATTTCACTCAACTTTCAGAGTTTGAGAGGGGTTACGTTGAGATGATGAGATGTTATCTAGCGTGGTTCCAAGAGGGCCTAAATCGACGAGTTAGAGGTACTGGACGTCAAAGACAGACTACATAGCGACAGGATCGTTATTTGAGGCAACTAACTCTTAGAGATCGATTTTCCACAACAACCAATGGTTTGATGCTGTCGGAAAGGCAATAACAATGAGGCCAGCTTATCGCCGAATAAGGTCTTTTGGAGTGTTTTTATACCGTCCCCATCTTGTACTACCGCTGACCCCACAGCATCGTCGGCAACGATTGGTATGGGGTAACGAGAGATTTGAATAAAATTTGGAATGGAACATAGTCGTGTTCAGCGATAAGTTCAGATTCTGTTTGGGCACGCGTGATGGCTGTAAGGAGGAGACATGGTTAAATATTCCATCGAACGGCATATTCATCGCACTGTGGGTGTTATGGTATGAGGTCCCATATCACACTGCTTCGCTTTTTGGAAACATTGCAAGATCCGATTTTTCAGCAGGACAATGCACGACCTCATGTCGCATATATTAATTTGGATTTTTTTAAAATCGTCCGGGGTAAATCTGCTTCAGTGGCCTCCTCGATCTCCAGACCTTTGCCACATCGAACATGATGGGAAGAAGGTTGCAAAGTTCACCGCACCCTCTACAAATATTGGAATCTCTTCTAAACCCAGATGGCCTGGTATACAATACATCAAGAAGACGTCAATCACCTAATCCAATCAATGCCGCGACGACTTAACGAATGTCTAGCGAACAGAGGAGCTTCAATATGTTATTAACATTGAGGTGGGATATCTCAACTACGAAACTTCGACTTTAGATTTTAATCACTTTCTATTTATCAGTAGACCTAAAACTTCTAAAAGTAGGCACAAAAATTACAGCACTCCTAGTCGGTGTTGTATTTTCTTATATACTTGAGTCGCTTGAATATTTTGCTCCATGTAACCCATATAAAATTTCTTGTGTAGTAAAATATCAACCAGTAGACTACAAAGCGAATGTATGATTGTCTGTCTGGTATTACTAGTATACATCAGAACTAAGTGCAACATGACTGATGTAGTAACTCTAAAATATTTTATTTGCTAAAAAGATCTAATGGTTGCATTTTTGTTGTATAAAGGATCATTAAAAAACATATTATGCTCAGTGGGTGCAAATTAACAACAAAAGAAAACTTTTAGTATTAGTCAACACAAGAAAGCTGCATCTAAGATCATGAAATAATTTATATAAAACTCTGTTATTCTAGTTCTATAACTGTTGCGTAGTATGTTTTATAATAATTTTAAAAACGTTTAAGAAATTATCTGGTAAAAGCTGTGAGAGTCATAATAAGACAAATTAAAGAATAAAATGTTTCAAAAAAGGTTCCCAACGCTGTAACTTTGTCGCGCGTGATGATAGGCGAAATGTGACAACACTGTCCTGTTTGCAGGCTACCACACCATGCACCGATCAAAAATCTTGCTACTGCAATAATTTTGCATATTATTTTGAATTTTTGACAGATTAACGCTTGCCCCAATATAAAAAGCAGCGCCAAATTTAAACCATGCTTTTTTGTTTGTTTTTCAATGTATCAACGATCCGCCTATGTCCGTATGGAGAAAGTCTGCTGTGCTTTCGTCGATTGTTTTGACCTGTCGCCGCACCGGTTATAGGGATTTTTGGATGTTTGAGCCCTTTTGTATGAAGCAGTCAATCGCTCGACGCTTAATTTCATGGATCTTGACGGAGTTGGCATTTTATATTGAAAGATAATCGATTCAGGACCTTTTGATGCTACTTTTTGCTCCGTCATCATATTGAATACTGTTACAGGCTTTACTTTTCGCAAAATAACCGAGGTGTAAAGGCGTTTACAGTAGCAGCTGTAGGAATCTTTAAAGGCGAAAATGCTTGGAATAAACAATCTTGGATGCCATCATAGCTCCATTTAGCAGTTAAGGCAGTTTATGTATTAATGGAACACACTGCAAGTATTTTGTGCTAGAATTGTACATAAGACTTTTTCTACTACCGCAGCGATTCACCTTTTCTTATATTTGTGTACAGGGTGGCCAACTAAGAATGCGAGGTACTGTATCTCGGAACCTTTCCATAGTAGAGACTTGCGGCAAAAAAGTTTTTATTAAAACGGCCAAGAGAAAAAACCTAGAAAATATTTTCAAGTTTCTGAAATGAATGAATCTTAAATCTAAAAAGTGATGTTTCTGTAAATTTAGCTATAATAACCTAACAAAAAGGTACCTGATCTTCAAAGTCGATGGTAATTTGAGCTTTTTTGTTTGACAATTTTTGCTGTATCTCTAAAAATAAAGTGGTGGGGAGTATTCAAATGCTTCCGTAAGAAATACCCTGTATCTTCAGATCGGCTGAGCCGTTTTTAACATACTTGAGCGAGTTGAAAAGAGCTATTCTTGAGCTGCAAATGTTATACTATTTGAAGTTTTCTTGGTTTCACATGTAGCCGCTAGAGGGCTTTCTTCGACATTCCGACAGAAATAGTTAATTTACTCAAAAAAATTAAATGCATTGGTATGCTTTTATTTTATGAAAAAGTAGCTAAATGATGAGGAAGGTTTTTAATGACCCCGCAAATGCTCGAAATGCTGACCATCACGCTCGATGCATTCCTGAAGCCTCTCATGAGTAGACTAAATTGCAGCTTCATTTTCGGATCTAGGTATGCTACGTGTTGCCTTACGAATCCGGTTTTTTATATCTTGAGTCTAAAACAGGACATAATGTCAAAATACCGACATGTCAAAAATGGTAGTATATACGCATCTTATTATGTATCACCAAACTTATGTCTAGCTCTATGTGTTCTGTATTGACAGTGAGTGAACGTTTGTTTTATGGTCGGGCCGTATCGTCAGTCGTTCCTACAATTGTGGGACGCCATAAAGCCTACTTGATTTTCATAGTTTTCAACTTTTCCGTGTCAGCGCTCTATTTTGACGTTATGTCACAAATATCTATTTGCATCAAATTGATCATGCTTTTGATTTATATGATCTTTTATCAGCCTGAAATTTCCTATAATTTAAAAAAAAACCTTAACTTCACAATAGAAAAGCGCTGACGCTGACACAGGTGCAATCTAGAGATTTTTGAAGGAGAGAAAAGACTATGACAATGAAGGAACCCATAAAGGCGTCCTATAGTCGTAGGAACGACTGACGATGACATACAGTGTGATACCGACACACGGTAGAATGTTATTTCTGTTCTGATGGTTAGCACGTTGGACGTGCTTTTGTTGCGAATCAGTAAAACTTCTAAGAAACCGACATTGTCCCTTTTCAAGTTACGTAATACCCCTGCGGATAATGAACAACGTAACCAGGCTAGTGGGTGGTGACACGATAGAATCTATCTGGGTATTAAACATATACAATGCGAATATCACGATGTCTAGTAGACAGGGTTATTATTAGGTAAAACCCTATCAAACGTCAACAAAAGCTGATAAAATGTCAACCTAGTGCACAAATAGTTTATTCCACGCTTGCTACATGTGAGCATGAAGTGAACGACAGCTAGTTCCAGTAGTCTTGTAGGAAAATCTACATGTCATAAAACACCTACATAACGTCAAAAAATACTGACATAATGGCTGAGGTACATGAACGATCGAGGAAAACTTTTATACGAGGGTTGTTTCAAAAATACTGCTCCTACATTTTTTCTAGGCACAAAGAATTTTTTATTTGAAAAAATGAATTTACTATTGGAAACGTTGATCTTTAAGCTATTTTTATACATAGTCGTCATTTCTTCTACGCATTTTTTCAGACGTCTAATCCACTTTTGCACTCCCGCCTCAAGGATATCCGCCGCCCGTCTGACAATTCTGGAATGCCCGCCTAAGTTTTTTCAGAAGTCTCACGAATTTCAACCGCTAGGATATCGACGGCCTCCTGCTCGTTTGTTTATTGTGGACGTCCGTGCAGCTGCCGGAGGACTCGCTACACCATTTGTGGACAAGTTGAATGCTTTTACACATTTCCCTATATTATACTTCACTCAACTGGCGATGAATTTCTATGGATGGTAACTTTTTTGCGTACAAAAATCGTATGACCGCACGAATTTCCCACCTGGCGGTGACGACGATAAAGAGCTCCAGTGCGCATGTCTGTCAAGCCGGTACTGAGCGTCGTTAATAGGCGCTTCTTGTTGGGATCGGTCGTGCGTGAGCCGTTAAGCACGACGGTGTTGCCAGATTTCGACTAGGATCACGGGCGCTAAAGTTAGAGCGTTGGAAACCTTATTTTTGGAACAACCCTCGTAGATATTTCCAGCTAGCAAACCTCAACTGTATCCCCCTTAAGGCCTTTAGTGCCCAAAGTGTGAGATTCCCCCAAAGAGGCATACTTACATACTAAACACCTTTCAGTCACTCGCTACACATCCCACCACAGAGATGCCTGCAACATTCCATTATGATGAGAAGCCAATGTGCATATACATACCTACACTCAACAAATAGGAACCACGATCTGTTTTAATTCCAGTTGTCTTTGGTAGTCAACCCAACTGCTACATTCGACTAGATGATTGGGAGTATCAACCACGTATCTGCAATATACGAAGTGTTGCGTACTCTCCATTCCTTCCCCGCTTTGGTTAGTTATCAAAACTACAATGTCGTTCAAGGAACTGTGTAGTATTGTAAACCACACAGCATCCTTGTCAAACCGGGTCTTGATATGTGGAATCAGCCTTTTAGTCGATGCACCGCAATTAGTTCCATCCCACCTCTAGGCGTTCTTTCAATAGAGCACACACCTCTAATCCGCCAGGAAATCAATTGGCGAGATACCAGCCACCGCCAGTAATTTATCTATCGACACCGTAATATGAGCACAGATTTCACCCAATACCACCTTTGTTGGCATTCGGGCATTAGCTGTATATATTCCTTTTACTTTAAGCCTTGGCTTAGACGGTGGCTCCATTCAGCATAATCGAGCTTGTCGCCTCCCCAAAATCCTACACCTCTCACTACTGAGCCCTCTCTCAGATGGCATTCGCACGACATCAGGATTGTAAAAACTTTGTCTTCTTAAAGGTGCGCCCCTTTACATGATCAATAGTTTTAAGGTCATTCTGTGCTACCAGGTGTTTAATAGCACCCTTGGCTTCGAACTCAGCTTTCTCACCATAACTGCCAATGAAGTCAGCTTCTATTCTGCCGGGACCGTATTACCCCTTCCATCCTCTCAGGAGCTTTTTTATTATTACACTAACTACCCGCGACGGCCTAAAGGCCGGTGGGGTACGGGGGGCTTAGGGGGATACAGGGGAAAAGGGGGAACGCCACACAGACTCTGGCGACGGGTGGCATAGAGGTGAAAATAGGGGGAAAGGGGAACGGCCACAACAGACTCTGCGATTCTGTAAAAACCTTTCCAGTGTACCTTTGTCCTTGCTAGTACTATCATCTCTAGATCATCAGCATACTCTATCAAGCGAATGCTCGATAGGATCTGCAGCAAAGATGCCCATCTTATTGGATGAGTTCTAAAGCAACGACTCTAGGCCGAACCCTGTGACACTCCTCTGGTCACATTCCATACCATAAGTAAGACAACTCTTTATCATTGAAGAGGATTGCCTTCGTCCGCCCGACCAAAAAGACAGCCAACCAGGGACCATGTGCTTCTTGGCTATTTATCAGCATGGTGTAGGCTGGGTCTCTTATCTCTGGACGAACGAAAGAAAGCATCACAATGATTCTCTTTGCCGGAGGCACGGTTTATCAATATTAGATTATTAGTTGAAACTGTTATGGATCTCAGTTCGCTTTAATAGCCGTAGCAAGTCCTAGTTCTGTCAACTCAAAATTGATGATACGAAAAATTGTCATTACAGTACATACTGATATATTTTGATTATTCTTAATGATGAATATCTAAGGAATGTAAGATACACATAAAGCATTGTTGTACTTGTCGAATAACAATTAGGTTTTGAAATGCATACATGGTTTCGCTATTAACTTTCAAATTCGAAGTTTGACCGAAAGTTGTTAGAGTCAAATGAAAAAAATTAGATGGTATGCGAATCTCAATTCGAACAAAAATTTGTTTGTCCTCATACGTTTGTACACCCTAGTGCCCAGCTTTTCGAGAGGTCCATCGATTTTTTGCCATTGTGACATGCTAAAGGCATTCTTAGTTATCCGCTGCTTTTGTCCACTACACCACGACACTTGGTACGTCGATAGCAGACCTTCCCGTTTGAAATCTATATTGCGTGAAATCAGTCCATTATCTTTTTCGACGCACAGATGTTGATCCCTGTATTCCTTTCTGACCCATTGCAAGGAAGCTACATTTCATTATTGTTCTAATTTTTTCACCTAACCTAATCCCTTGTAAGGTCAAGTTTAATCAATGCTCCACAATTTCAATAGTCTGGTAAAAATGTTTAATTAAATTTCTTAATGTTGATTTAATTTCTGTAAGATTTTTGGGGGCTTGGAATGACGAATGCGGTGGGTCATCTACCAATTCACAGCCTGCTTGGTACATAATAGCCATAGGAATGTGGGAACATTTTCCCGATTGAACAGTATCCTACTTGTTTACCTCCCCTAACGTTCCTCTTTAAGGGGTCTCGCAGTTTTGTAATACCATACCTCACGCTTGGATATTGTTTTGTTCAACCGATACCACTGCTCATGGCCCACCGCCATTGATTTTGTTATTACAGAATATATGAACCAGATTCTTAAGCAGAAAATGTTATCGCTAATTATGTTGCCGAGGGCAAACGAGGGTAGTTAAAAAATAACTTTCATTTCCCGCTGATGAATCTAACTACCACTACAATAGCTGATAGCTATCTGATTGTAAACAAAAGGAAAGGTAGAACGGTTTTCATGAAGTCGTAGAATAGGAATACACACATACAGCCTGTAAGCTAATTCTTAAGAAGCATGGAGGACGTATCGGGTTGCATGTATGAGATAAGTCCAAGTTTTCTAACAACGGTAAAAGAAGGATACACGATATCGCCAAGATGATGCAATATAATAATTATATTGTATAGAGTGAGCCAAAGTACATAACTCTTCCCCCCTCAGTTCAAAACGTCCTCGTTTCGGTTTCTTTTAGTTTCAGAAATATTTATTTCCATTACAGGAGGATCAGAACTCTTTCCAATGAACAAGTCTTTTAGACAACATTTGTATATAAGATAAATTACTCCAATAACAATGATTAAGCCAAATATGGAAAATCCGCTAATTATTCCAACACGATAAAAATTTAGATTTTCATGTGTTTGAGAGTAGTTTTTAATTTTTCCAAATTTAGAAAATGATAGTTGCTCAATTTAACTATAGTATTGGCTGTCATATTTAGTTCAGGTAACCAACTAGAATTTTCATTACTTGGAAAAATGATATTTGATAGATAAAATATATGTCTTCATCATTTATTATATCACATATGCTATTCAATTTATAGGACCCTTTAAGTTAATCTTCATGACATTCTCTTCACGCTGATGAATCTAACTACCACTACAATAGTTGACAGCTATCTGATTCCTAAACCAAAGATACAACGGTCTTATAATAGGAATACACACACAAGCTAATCCTTAAGAAGCATGAAGAACATATCAGGTTGCATGTATGAGATAATTCCAAGTTTTCTAACAACGGTAATAGAAGGATACAAGATGATGCAACATAATAATTATATTGTACGTATATAGAGTGAGCTAAAGTACATAACTCGCTTTAGCTCGATGGTTTTGTCAATAATAAGAATAAACTTCTCATGAACAAAAGGGTGGAACATATAATAATTTCAGGGGTATTTAGAATGTGTGACCAAATAGAAAAGAACTACCTTGTCAACTTAGCGATTACTCTTTCCACTTACCTCTAGTCAAAAGGACGATCAATCCGTATAGTAAGATCGGTGGCGGCGATGGTCCTCCACCGGTCGCCATTCTGATGGCAACCGGGACTCTTACGGGTTGTGCTCAGCAACTTTGTTTACTGGATCGTATGTAGCGAAAGCACTGCAACATAAAAAATATGTCAATCTGGTTGATCTAACAAAAAATAAAATAACTACGTCTATCAAATGAAACTTTTCGATGGTGCCAGCACTCATGAACAATTTCGCCGGGCATTTAGTCCTGCTTCCGACTTTGACGTGTTCTGTACTAGGTGTTTCAAATCCGACCCTCACAATTGGGATCTCGGAAACAGTAAGATATATGAGTATTTGGACTAGACCTGAGACCTATATCGCATTAATGAGCTGCTGGACCTGGCAAAGACTGAAAGCAAACATGTCCGCTTCAACAACATATTTTTTTTAGTTATAAATATGACGTTTTATACTTCTTAACCTTAAATGGTAATGAAGCTAATTTGTCTCAAGTTGTCCCAGTCTAAAGTCTCGTCTATCGAGTTACTTCTTAGCTATGTTTGATGGCAGTCAATCCAGATAATTAAGAGCTATAGGAGGTGACAAAAAACTTCCAAAAGATGAACCGACTTGAGAGTGATTCTTTTAAAGTCTACCGAGATGGTTCGATGAAAGTTGCATCATTTGTTTGTAAGTCTTTTTTACAGGGGAAAGCTTTTATAGTCACTCTCAGGCAGAAAAACCCGACCTTTCCTGCCCGAAGTGCGAGATTCTCCAGAAATGACATACCCACTAAAACCGCTCAGTCGTTCGCCATACATCTCACCACGGTAATATTTGCAGCATTTCGTCATACTGGGTAGCGTTGTGCTAGGGACTCATACCGAAGGTATTAGTCATCTTTTCTCTTTCGTACACATCCATACCTTTGTACCAGTGGCGATGCGTGATTTTTCCTAAACTCTTACCAAAACCAGATGTGAAAAATGTTATTAAAAAAAGTTTATTTTGAACCTCCCAAATATAACTTTGCATATATTAGGTATTTTATTTAAACTATTTTTAAATTAAGGTCAACATTCCTGGACTGAGCGTCTGGGACAATTTGATATACCTCATCGTCTTATGCTATGACTAATCCAAGCCGTCCGAAAAAACAGTCGACGTTTCCAGATGTTCGGAAAATTTTTGATCTTTTTTGGCAATGAATCTTAACAATTAACTGTAATTTCCTCTATTGTCAGAGTCGTCCCCTTCAAAATGAACGGTAATTCCTGTTTTGCCAAAAAACATACGGTATCTAGAAGTGTGCTGCCTAAAAGCTTGGTTAAGACAACTTTCGATTCTTGTTTTGCAAAACTGAATTAAATTGGCTACACATCTCACATGTGTCCTCTTTAGAGACCTGAAACTATTTAAATCTTTGACTCCGCTGCATTTTATTCTGTATAAAACAGAAGACATCGCCAACAATATAATCTGTTTTTTTTACAACCACATAAACAAGAGTTTCCATATACCAACTTAATTTAAAATATCAAACTACGTTTTTTTAAAATTATCTAAAATATGCGTTGGTCGTCCATTTTCAATGATCTCCATTTCTTCTTAAAAATTATACAAGGAGAATGACTTTTCAAGTAGTTGATCGATTACGCAGCGACACGCATCCATGTTTAATTGCACGCATACTACAGCCGGTAACCAAAACGGCTACTAACGGATGAGAAGTGAGTAACCAAATCAAAAAATGGTAACAAGCCCACATAATAGTCGCAGCGCCCCACGCACTCGGGCGACAGCGATCAGACACGAGCCGGTACCGACGGTCCCCGACAGACTACCAAGTGTATCCATAAATGAAAATGGTAACAACCGACAACCATGTCGAGGCGAGTCAGCTTCATCGTGTTCGCAAAATCTAGACATAGGGCGCATTATTTTCGTGGGGCTAATTTGCTATTTACTGAATTACTATTACATATCGCTGTTAGTAAACAAATAAATGAAATTATTTCACAGTACTTAGTCATAAAATATTTATTTTTAGATATTTAAGTACCAATGGTAACAATGGTTACATGGACGCTTCGCCACTGCTTTGTACCTATGTCAATGTACAGGGTGGCCAACTAAGAATACAAGGTAATGTATCTGGCAACCTATCCATCGTAGAGGCTTGCGGTAGAAAAAGTTATAACCAGAACGACCAAGAGAAAAACCTGGAAAATATTTTCAAGTTTCTGAAATGGCCGCTAGGCGGTGTAACTGCAATCTTAAATCTAAAAAAGTGATGGTTGTGTGAATTCTGCTATATAAACCTAACAAAAAAATACCTGAGCTTTAAAGTTGAGGAAAATGTGAACTTTTTTGCTCAATAATTTAAAAATAAAGTAGTGGCTGGTATTCAAAGGTTTCCGTCAAAAACATCCTGTATCTTGAAACGGGTGAGGCGATTTTAACCTACTTGAGCTAGTTGGAAAGAGCTATTCTTGGGCTACAACTGCTATGATATTTTAAGTTTTTTAATATCACAAGTGGCCGCTAGAGTGCTTTTTTCGAAATTCCGACAGAAATGGTTAATTTTCTCAAAAAATTAAATGCATCGGTATGATTTTTTTTTATGAAAAAGTCGCTAGATGATGTAACAAGCTTGCGAAAACCGCGTCTCGATATTTTGTTCCTAACCTAAAATTTAGACCAAAGAACCTTTTATACTGAAATCCCTTAAAATTTAATTTTTTTAAACTAACTTTTCGGGAATTCTTTTTAATTCATTAGAATATCCTCTTTGAAAATATTAAAATATCGCTAGAAGAAGTATTAATGCTAATAACAGATGGCATATTATTTGTTCAAATGCATATTCATTATGGGTATATACGAAAGAGGCACTTAATAGAAGCAAGCCATGGAATACCACAAAACAAATACCCAATCAAAAATAAAATAAATAATCCTCAAATTGTCAATAGTTCTCAACAGTTTCGCCTTATTTAGAGCAATTTTTGTGCTTACCAAATGCGTTTTACGAACGATGAAGCTGTTGATATACTTGCAGCTTATTTTGAATGTCTTCAGAATGCCGCAGTAGCAAAAAAAGCTTACGCGACTCGATATCCAAATCGGCGTCTTTGTGTTTCAACGGCAACGAATTGGAAGAACACAAGAAAATATTAACCGCGTACTGGGATATATTGAAGAAACTCCTCATATTAGCTTAAGGGCATTATCCCTTGAATTGGGCATATCACGAACAACGGTTCAAAATATTTTGAAGGACCATAGGTAAGTTCTAATGGCCATCAACATATAGGGATCTGTTTAAATTTAACTTTCATTAATTACTTTTAGAATGCATCCAAATCTTATCGTTTTGCATCAGGCCTTGAAAGAGTAATACTTTGATCGGAGGTTGGACTATTGGCAATGTCTTCTTGTCTTTGTACAATCAGTTACCATTGTTGTTGGAAGATGTGCCACTGGAAACACGGCAAAACTTGTTTTGGCAGCTGGTTGGTTGCCCAGTACATTTTGCTAATATTGTGCGAGCGCATATTAATGATGTATTTCAACTGAGATGGATTGGAAGAGGAAGTCTGTTTCCATGGCCTTCGCGATCACCAGACTCAACTTGTCTTGATTTTTATCTATTGGGACGGTTGACGGACATCGTATTTCAGACTCAATCTGCAACCAGAGAAGATATGAAAAACCGGATTGGTAATGCAATACGTAACATACCGAGAGCCTAAATTGAAGCTGCAGTTTTGTCTACTCATGAGAGGCTTCAGGAATGCATAGAGCGTGATGGTAAGCATTTCGAGCATTTACGGGGGTATTTATATTTCTTTTTTAAAATTGTCCTTTTTAGGGCCACAACCTGACAATAACAAGAAATTCCAGAAAT